TTTATAAAAGTTATTTAAATTTTCAACTACTTTTTCTCAATAATTTTAGATTTTAAAAAAAAAATTAGCAAGCACCCGTGTAATACACGGGCGTATAAATAATAAAGATTCCAAAATCCAAATGGTAAAAGAATTGTGTGTCATTTTCAAAGTGGGGTATAAAAAACTCTGTAAGCCTGGGCGGTTTTGGTCGGCCGGCGGTGGGCCGTGCCCGCCACCATCCAAATACTTTTTCAATTTTCTCCAATAAAAAAAAAAAAAAAAAATTGAAAAACATTAAAATTTGTGTGTCATTAAAATTTGAAATACATTTTTTTAATTAAAAAGCAGCTTTATTTGTGAGGATTCCCTAGATTCGTAACCCAATTACCTCACAAATTTAACTATAAAGATAATATAATTCATAATATTACATAAAAATCTCATTTCAAATTATCTACAAATACAAAAAGACAACTATTGAAATTACAAAAAAAGTTAGTTTAATTTCTTGAAATCTTGGCAATATTATAAATACTAGTACAACACCCGTGTATTACACGGGTGCTTGCTAATTTTTTTCTTAAAATCTAAAATTAATGAGAAAAAGTAGTTTGAAAATTTAAATATCTTTTATAAGAATATATATATTATTATATATTTATTATGACACTTTTTATTTGTGCAACTTACTTGTGTTATATTATACTATTTTTTTTTAACTTACAATATATAACTACATTACATATAAATATATCAATTGAGAAATAATTTTATTTTTCTAATGAATTTTAATAAGTATAATTATTTTTTAATATTATAAAGATAAATATAATTTATAACTACATTACATATAGATATAGCAATTGAGAAACAATTTTATTTTTCTAATGAATTTTAATAAATATTATTATTTTTATTATTATAAAGATAAATATAATTTATTTATTTCATATATACAATATGGATGTCAAATCGAAGATCATCAAAAGATGATTAATTTGATATATTATATATGTAAAACCGATAAGAAATACAAAAGTTATCAACTTTTAAAATACATTTATAGTTCAATAGATTATTGAAAGAAACAAATCAAAATTCAGGGATATATTAGTCACTTAGTGTCTCATTATGTAAAATTACAAAGAATTAAAGGGTTATATTAGTAAAAGTAATATTAAAATATCTAAGTTGGCTAAATAATATTTATGGAATACCCGAACCTAGATTATTAATTATTAA